CGGGCCTCCTACATATCTCAGGCTATATGAGAATTCAGGCCACTTGTAGTTCGATAAGCTTGATTTACCGCACGATTTCAAAGAATCAAAAGCCACCTCGACACCGAATTATGAAGGTATCGAAATGCTCGAGAATAGAATTCGAGAGCGAATGTTGGAATACAGCCGAGTTTTCAACATTGAATCCGCCTACATACCCTTAAACCTTCGGAATCAGGCTGTGTGTAGTCCGACTCGATCGTTGGAAAAGGAAAACTATTATGCTAGCTAACCTTCGGTTTTGGACGAGTGACACATTAAACGAGTATGAAAAAGAGGCTTGTAACCTCTTAGCCATGAATGTGGCGCGCTTCACATCCATAATTAAGAACTTACACGGACATAATTTCCAAATCTTTTGGCGTATTGTCACTCAGATTGGAGACTTGCTTCCGATGAAACAAAACTTTCGGAAGCGAGACAGAAACTGACGGAACTAGAGAAAAACCGTGAGCCTCGAGAGAGTGGTTCGATTGTGGTGGAAGTCGCTCCTCTGCTCGCGTCCTAAGAGTTTGACATTCCTCTTTGGACTATGTCCCAGTTCGCTGCTAAGAAAAGTTCCACGTTGTGCTGCATCCTTTTTGATGTCGTCCGCACCTGTGGTTTTTGGAGAATTCATCCTTTTGGATGCTCTCTACAAAAACTGAGATAAAACTCGTCAGCTTAAAAATGCAATTAGGATGGGAGACAGTGTCTTTTACCATGTCGACACTTCATTGTTCTCCTCCATGTTCGACGTCGACTCGATCGGTCTGACGATCAGCAAATAAAGCTTATGCCTTGTGTTTTGCAATATCATCTTCAATGCATTCCATACTTGATGTCGAAATAAATAAATAAATGCTAATGCGATATTGATGTTTCTTTTGTTGTCATCTTCGATGCTCTCCATGATGTTTATTTTTATAAGAAATAACAGAATGCAGTCGAGGCCAATGGATAAGTATTGCTTTTTCTTTATCCAAGTACGTCCTCTTGCGGGTCATGAATATCTTCCCGCGATACGTAAATTCCCGCGAGATATGAATCTTCTCGCGATGCATAACTTTCAGCGAAGAATAAAATCTTCTGGCGATGTGCAAATTTTGACGAGGCATGAATTCTTCTCGTTGTGCATAAATTTTGACGAGGCATGAAATCTTCTCGTCGTGCATAATTAATGACTCGCGATGCATGATTTCCGCGATGCATGATTCCGCGATGCATGAATTCCAGCGAGGCATAAATTCTTCTCGCGATGTATAAATTTTGACGAGGCATGAAATCTTCTCGTCATGCATGATTATTGACTCGCGATGCATGAATTCCAGCGAGGCATAAATTCTTCTCGCGATGTATAAATTTCGACGAGGCATGAAATCTTCTCGTCATGCATGATTATTGACTCGCGATGCATGATTTCCGCGATGCATGATTCCGCGATGCATGAATTCCAGCGAGGCATAAATTCTTCTCGCGATGTATAAATTTCGACGAGGCATGAAATCTTCTCGTCATGCATGATTATTGACTCGCGATGCATGAATTCCAGCGAGGCATAAATTCTTCTCGCGATGTATAAATTTCGACGAGGCATGAAATCTTCTCGTCATGCATGATTATTGACTCGCGATGCATGATTTCCGCGATGCATGATTCCGCGATGCATGAATTCCAGCGAGGCATAAATTCTAGCGAGGCATAAATTCTTCTCGCGATGTATAAATTTCGACGAGGCATGAAATCTTCTCGTCATGCATGATTATTGACTCGCGATGCATGATTTCCGCGATGCATGATTCCGCGATGCATGAATTCCAGCGAGGCATAAATTCTTCTCGCGATGTATAAATTTCGACGAGGCATGAAATCTTCTCGTCATGCATGATTATTGACTCGCGATGCATGATTTCCGCGATGCATGATTCCGCGATGCATGAATTCCAGCGAGGCATAAATTCTTCTCGCGATGTATAAATTTCGACGAGGCATGAAATCTTCTCGTCATGCATGATTATTGACTCGCGATGCATGATTTCCGCGATGCATGATTCCGCGATGCATGAATTCCAGCGAGGCATAAATTCTTCTCGCAATGTATAAATTTCGACGAGGCATGAAATCTTCTCGTCATGCATGATTATTGACTCGCGATGCATGATTTCCGCGATGCATGATTCCGCGATGCATGAATTCCAGCGAGGCATAAATTCTTCTCGCGATGTATAAATTTCGACGAGGCATGAAATCTTCTCGTTATGCATGATTATTGACTCGCGATGCATGATTTCAGCGATGCATGATTCCGCGATGCATGAATTCCAGCGAGGCATAAATTCTTCTCGCGATGTATAAATTTCGACGAGGCATGAAATCTTCTCGTCATGCATGATTATTGACTCGCGATGCATGATTTCCGCGATGCATGAATTCCAGCGAGGCATAAATTCTTCTCGCGATGTATAAATTTCGACGAGGCATGAAATCTTCTCGTCATGCATGATTATTGACTCGCGATGCATGAATTCCAGCGAGGCATAAATTCTTCTCGCGATGTATAAATTTCGACGAGGCATGAAATCTTCTCGTCATGCATGATTATTGACTCGCGATGCATGATTTCCGCGATGCATGATTCCGCGATGCATGAATTCCAGCGAGGCATAAATTCTTCTCGCGATGTATAAATTTTGACGAGGCATGAAATCTTCTCGTCGTGCATAATTAATGACTCGCGATGCATGATTTCCGCGATGCATGATTCCGCGATGCATGAATTCCAGCGAGGCATAAATTCTTCTCGCGATGTATAAATTTTGACGAGGCATGAAATCTTCTCGTCATGCATGATTATTGTCTCGCGATGCATGAATTCCAGCGAGGCATAAATTCTTCTCGCGATGTATAAATTTTGACGAGGCATGAAATCTTCTCGTCATGCATGATTATTGACTCGCGATGCATGATTTCCGCGATGCATGATTCCGCGATTCATGAATTCCAGCGAGGCATAAATTCTTCTCGCGATGTATAAATTTCGACGAGGCATGAAATCTTCTCGTCATGCATGATTATTGACTCGCGATGCATGAATTCCAGCGAGGCATAAATTCTTCTCGCGATGTATAAATTTCGACGAGGCATGAAATCTTCTCGTCATGCATGATTATTAACTCGCGATGCATGATTTCCGCGATGCATGATTCCGCGATGCATGAATTCCAGCGAGGCATAAATTCTAGCGAGGCATATATTCTTCTCGCGATGTATAAATTTCGACGAGGCATGAAATCTTCTCGTCATGCATGATTATTGACTCGCGATGCATGATTTCCGCGATGCATGATTCCGCGATGCATGAATTCCAGCGAGGCATAAATTCTTCTCGCGATGTATAAATTTCGACGAGGCATGAAATCTTCTCGTCATGCATAATTATTGACTCGCGATGCATGATTTCCGCGATGCATGATTCCGCGATGCATGAATTCCAGCGAGGCATAAATTCTAGCGAGGCATAAATTCTTCTCGCGATGTATAAATTTCGACGAGGCATGAAATCTTCTCGTCATGCATGATTATTGACTCGCGATGCATGATTTCCGCGATGCATGATTCCGCGATGCATGAATTCCAGCGAGGCATAAATTCTTCTCGCGATGTATAAATTTCGACGAGGCATGAAATCTTCTCGTCATGCATGATTATTGACTCACGATGCATGATTTCCGCAGTGCATGATTCCGCGATGCATGAATTCCAGCGAGGCATAAATTCTTCTCGCGATGTATAAATTTCGACGAGGCATGAAATCTTCTCGTCATGCATAATTATTTATATTGCCCCCGTGAATAGTAACGGCAAGACGACCTCCAAATAATATATCGACTTGATCGATAATGATAAAAATAATAATTGCATAGCTGTCTCTTCTGAGGTAATGCATTGTCTTGATCGACAATAATCATCTTGCTTTGATAACGCAATGCAAATAGCGTCTTCTATAGAAATCGTGAAATCTTCGCTAAGATTCCTTTTTGATCCACCTTTGAATCTGGCCAGGCACTTTGTAAATTTCATGTATTGGGGAATGGCTTGAAATAAACAAACACATTCACAAGCATCTTGGCATAAAGATATGAAATGCTTCTTGCTTTAAATAAAATCACCGGCTTTGGAGATAGTTTTCTCCTTCTCCGTATTCATCAGTCGGAAGAATTCGGCCGATTTCGAAGTGAAGCTATAAACCTGCATCCACAGAAAAATTGTCAGTTTTAAACATACTGATCTGTGTCGATCCCTTCGATTGTTTGCTCCTTGTCTTGACGTCCTCGGTTGATTTCCCGATTTCCCGACTCTTGATAGATAAGAAAATATCTCATGCCAAAACAGATGAAATATAAAAGGGAATTTTTTAAGAGAAGCAAGAAATTTTTTAAGAAATAGTATCTCGAAAAAGTCAATGCCAAGTCATGTCATGTCAGGCTTAACGAGCTTCTTTGAGTCCGACGCTTGTCGAATGAATTTTAGAGGCATTCCGGACTTGTGGGGAAGTCCCATGACGAAATTTTAAGGCCATCCTCAAAATTTCTGTCCCAGTTTAGTATCTTGCTCATCTTTCCATTGTAACCGAACAGATCTCGGAATTTTTGAGATCTTCTCAAAAATTCTGTCCCAGTCGCAAACTCGAAATGTCCTTAGTTTGATCCGCTGAGGAGAAGGTTCCTTCTGGAGAATTTTTGAGTCCCTCTCAAAAATTCTGTCCCAGTTTCGATTGTAGAAGGGGGAAATAGAAATCTTACGAGAGATATGACCGAGCCCTTGTGGCGCCTACGTATCCCGTTGAGGCAGGAATCAGGTTAAACGTAGTTCCCCTTAAAGGTTAACAAGAATAAATTTTACAAAGAAACCGACCGAAGCCGTCAAAGGCCGCCTACGTATCTCATTCTTGAGAATTCAGGTCGAACGTAGTTCAGGTACAAAGAAATAGTAAAGGGGGGTAAATGGGGTGACCAAAGCCGACATAGGACGCCTACGTATCTCGTTCTCGAGAATTCAGGTCAGACGTAGTTCGTTACAAGAGGGATAAGAATTCAAATTCGAACAAATACAAGCAAACAGAAGATTACAAGTAAATGATGGGAAATGCAAAACGAACTTCACGCGTAATATCTCTTGACAGCATCTGAGTTGATAGGTTTAGGCCATACAGCGCCATCCATCTCTGACAAGACTAAAGCACCTCCAGATAGTACTTTGCGGACCATGTAAGGACCTTGCCAGTTTGGTGCGAACTTTCCTTTGTACTCGTCTTTATGAGGAAAAATACGCTTAAGAACCAACTGACCAACTTCAAAATTTCTGGCTCTTACTCTTTTGTGAAAAGCGCGAGTCATTCTTTGTCTATACAACTGGCCATGGCAAACAGCAACCATCCTCTTCTCATCAATCAAGGCTAGTTGATCAATCCGTTTGCTAACCCACTCAGTATTACTTAGCTCAGCTTCTTGGATGATCCTCAGTGACGGTATCTCGACTTCAACAGGTACGACTGCTTCTGTTCCGTATACTAGCAAGTATGGAGTAGCCCCAGTCGATGTTCTGACCGTCGTTCGATAACCCAGTAGAGCATATGGCAACATTTCATGCCAACCCCGCTGCTTGTCAATCATTTTCCTCAGAATCTTCTTGATGTTCTTGTTGGCGGCCTCTACAGCTCCGTTCATTTGAGGGCGATAAGCAGTTGACCTTCGGTGAATAATCTTAAATTGTTCACATATCTCTTTCATCAGATGACTGTTGAGATTTGCACCGTTATCAGTGATGATGGATTCTGGAACTCCAAATCGGCAGATCAGATTGTTGCGGACAAAGTCGGCCACCACTTTCTTGGTTACCGATTTGTAAGAGGCTGCTTCCACCCATTTGGTGAAATAATCGATGGCAACCAAAATAAATCTGTGTCCATTGGAAGCGGCCGGTTCTATAGGGCCGATGACATCCATTCCCCAGGCTACAAATGGCCAAGGTGAGCTCATAGCATTGAGTTCGTGAGGTGGCACCCTTATCAGATTACCGTGCACTTGACATTTGTGGCATTTTTGCACGAATTTGCAACAGTCATGCTCCATAGTCATCCAGAAATAACCGGCTCGAAGGACTTTTCTTGCCAAGGTAAGCCCGTTCATATGTGTGCCACAGACTCCAGCATGTATCTGTTCAATAAGCCTCACGGCTTCAGCAGCATCCACGCATCTCAAAAGACCCAAATCTGGAGTCCTCCTATAAAGGATTTCTCCATTCAAAAAGAAATTGAGAGCCATACGACGTATCGACTTCTTTTGATTAGATGTGGCGTCTTCTGGATATGTCCCAGACTCCAAGTACCTCTTTATGTCGAAATACCAAGGCAAACCATCTGGTTCTGATTCCACGTGTGAACAATGGACTGGATGCTCCTTCAAATCTATATCCAGCGGGTCGATGTAATCAATATCCGGATGTTTGATCATTGAAGCGATGGTGGCAAGAGCATCAGCTAATTCATTCTGTATTCGGGGAGTATGTCTGAACTCGATCTTGCGAAACCTTTTACACAGGTTTTGAACATATTGTACATAAGGTACAATCTTTGGGTTCTTCACAGCCCATTCTCCTTGAACCTGATGGATCAAGAGGTCTGAATCTCCAATAACCAGTAACTCGTAAACATTCATGTCAACGGCCATTTTCAAATCGAGAATGCAAGCTTCATACTCAGCCATGTTGTTTGTGCAGTTGAACCGTAGCTTAGCCGCCATAGGATAGTGCTGACCAAATTCTGATACCAAGACTGCTCCAACACCTTTACCCTGGTGATTCACCGCTCCATCGAAGAATAATCTCTAACCTGGATAAACTTCAGAGATATCTTCACCCACAAATGACACTTCTTCATCGTGAAAATATGTCTTGAGAGGTTCATACTCTTCATCAACGGGATTTTCCGCAAGATGATCAGCCAAAGCTTGTGCTTTTATTGCCTTCTGAGTCACGTACACGATGTCAAACTCACTCAACAGCATTTGCCATTTAGCCAGCTTCCCGGTCGGCATCGCTTTCTGGAAAATATACTTCAACAGATCCATCCTGGAGATAAGATATGTAGTATACGACGACAGGTAGTGCCTCAGCTTCTGGGCAAGCCATGTCAGAGCACAGCATGTTCTTTCCAGCAAAGTGTAACGAGACTCGTACGGAGTAAACTTCTTGCTGATGTAGTAGATAGCCTTGTCCTTCTTCCCTGTCTCGTCGTGTTGACCAAGTACACATCCAAAGGCGTTATCCGAGACAGACAAATATAGCAACAAAGGACTCCCTTCTCGCGGAGGAACCAATACTGGTGGGTTAGACAAGTAGCTCTTGATAGCGTCGAAAGCGGTCTGGCACTCCTCAGTCCACTTAGTTGGGGCATATTTCTTCAGCAACTTGAAGATAGGCTCACATACCACCGTCGATTGTGCTATGAACCGGCTGATATAGTTTAACCTCCCTAAGAAACTCATCACCTCTTTTCTCGTCTTCGGCGGAGGTAACTCCTGAATTGCTTTGATCTTGGAAGGGTCGAGCTCAATACCTCTTCTGCTAACTATAAACCCTAACAACTTCCCAGCTGGGACTCCAAAAGCACACTTGGCTGGATTTAGCTTCAAGTTGTACCTACGCAAACGTTCAAAGAATTTTCGCAGGTGTGTCAAATGATCTGAACTCTCGCGGGATATAATTATGACGTCGTCCACGTACACTTCAATTTCCTTGTGAATCATGTCGTGGAAGATAGTCATCATGGCCCTCATGTAAGTGGCACCGGCGTTTTTGAGCCCAAACGGCATCACCCTGTAGTGATATACCCCCCAAGGTGTGATGAAGGCCGTTTTCTCCGCGTCTTCTTCATCCATCAGAATCTGGTGATAACCCGCGTAGCAGTCCACAAATGACTGCATCTCATGCTTGGCACAGTTGTCAATCAGAATATGGATATTTGGCAACGGGAAATTATCCTTTGGACTAGCCTTGTTGAGATCTCTGTAATCAACACAAATCCTGATTTTTCCATCTTTCTTAGCGACCGGAATGACATTCGCCAACCAGGTGGGATATTGCGTTACTTCTACCAACCAGGACTCTATCTTCTTGGTGATTTCCTCCTTAATCTTGAAACTCAATTCAGGCTTGAATTTCCGAGTCTTTTGCTTCACTGGCTCGAACCCTGGGTTGATAGGCAGCTTATGAGATACGACATCAGTACTCAACCCCTGCATGTCACCGACCTCCCAAACAAACACATCGCTGTATTCGGCAAGCAAATGAATCAGGCTCTCCTTCTAAATTTCATTCAGGTGAGTGCTGATCTTAACCTCTTTGACACATTCTGAATCTCCCAAATTTACCGTCTCTGTTTCCTCCAGATTCGGTTTATGTTGATTCTCGAACTGTCGAAACTCTTCTACTACATAGTCTGGTTCCCCACTTTCTTCGTCGTAGTCGTCAGCCTCGTCGTCATTTGCCTCATTTTGTTCGTTTAGCTCATGACATGACATGACGTTGGCAGGTTTGTAACTTACGTTACTGAAATCATAAACAGACAAAATTAGGAAAGTAAAATATAACAAGCAATCGAATGAACAAAGTCAAAATAAGGAGGCTTTCATTTAAATTGAATCAAAATGCAAAGTTGGGTCACGGCACAAGGCCATGTCGCCCTTTAAACAATTATAACAAAATTCAAAATCAAGAAAATGCAGAAATGGTGGGTCTCGGGCCTCTTTCGAACGACCACCGATTTTGGCATGCACAAAATAATTCCTTTCTACCCAAAAGTCCGGGACATCAGGATTGGTGTGGATGTCCAATTCTTCAGCATCTCCCCCGGTTCAGCATCACGAAAGCCAGCTGGCTCAGCCTCCTCCTCTATGACGGCATTGATCTCCTTGAACAGGTCACAGATTCCTTCCCCGTCGTCTTCAGGCTCGGCATGCTCCCGAACTGGAAAGGAGTGATAGAGATGCGGGATCGGCTTAGTCAACTCTTGATCCCTTCTCCTCTTCATCTTCATATCATCATCTGTGGGGATGTACCCCAAACCATACTTTGATCCCTGAGCAAGGACCGGAACAGGCTCAATAATTCCTTGGGAATCTCTTCCCAATCCGAAACCTGGCTCGAACCCATTTTGCAGCATCACCGTGGCTATAATTTTGTACACGGTTGGCATGGAGTTGAGGGCCAAATCTTCATTGGACGCATTCACCAGCTCCATCGTGTAAAAGTCTGCGCCTTGCGGCATCTCATCAATGACCGACACCTGCTTGCCCAAGCGACTTCCCTCGCCGTGAATCACTAACTCTTCATTTTTCCATACAAGCTTCATCATCTGATGGAGAGTAGAGGGGACGGCTCCAGCCATGTGGATAAATGGCCTTCCCAAAAGAAGGTTGTAGCTAGTGTCTATGTCCAATACTTGGAATTGCGCACTGAACTCTGCGGGGCCCATCTGAAGGGTCAAAGTCACTGCCCCTAAGGTGTCTCTTTGCACCCCATCAAATGCCCTTACATTGACCTGATTCTGCTCATGTTTCCCAAGGTCAAAATTTAGTTGCCTCAACGTCGTCAATGGGCAAATATTCAAACCGGACCCATCATCTACCAAAACACAGTTGACAACCTTTCCACGACATATCACGGTAATGTGTAGTGCTTTGTTGTGGGATCTTCCTTCGACTGGCAACTCATCGTCACAAAAGCTGATCCGGTGCCCCCGAATGACTTGATGAATCATAGCGGCCACGTTATCACTACTTGTACTTGAGGGTACGTATGTATCATCAAGAGCTTTCATTAAGGCCTGCCTGTGGGACTGAGAGCTCATTAGCAGGGCCCACACAGATATCTGAGCCGGAGTCTTCTCTAAATGTTTGACGATGGAATAGTCCTTCGGCTGCATCCTTCTCCAGAACTCTTCTGCTTCCCCCTCACTTATCGGCCTCTTAGCATGGTCCTTCTTCTGTCCTCCGAGAGCAAGCTCATCAGGAGTGTAGCACCTTCCGGACCTGGTCATGCCTTGGGCCACGGCGGTTTCAATGACAAATTTGGGCTTAACGAGAGTTTTCGAAGGCACCAAGGCAACAACCTTTGCAGGTGTCAGAATAACAAACTTCCTCCTTTCCTTGACGCTTAAAGAAGCGACAGCCCTTTCCAAGTCCTCATGCACAATAGGGGTAATCATCTTTGTTCCACACCCGTCTTCATCTGTTTCAATCATATTAAGGTTGTCACCTCCATGATTCGGCAACGGATTTGTGTTGACGTTTGGCACCGCCGGTTGAAGAGAAACTACCTCCTGATCGATCAGGTCTTGGATTTTGTGCTTAAGGTTGATGCAATCTTCCGTGTCATGTCCAACACTGTTGGAATGATAAGCACACCTTTGATCTAGCCTGTAGAACTTCGAGTTAACATCCCCGGGTTTGGGCCCCACAGGGTTGATGTATCCATCTGCGGCTAGCCTCTCAAATAGTTTGGTCCGGCTTTCAACAAGTGTGGTAAAGTTCCTTGAAGGCCTTTTTTCAGATCTCGGACGGGAAGTATCATAACCGCTTTGCCGAGGGGGAGGCACCCGCTGATAATTTTGGGTATTTGTACGAGGAGCTTGGCTCCGGGGATAAGGGTTTGCCTGGAAATTTGGCATTGTAGCTTGGTAATTCGGGAGGGGGTCCTGGTATAATGGAGCTTGGACTTGATAAGTGGGCGGAGGTGGTCGGTAGCTCGACTGTACGTTGGCACAGTTGGGAGCAATATTCTGATAAGGGGATGGGATCTGGTATGGTTGAGGGTAATTTGGGTATATGGGAGAAAAATTTTGGAGATCAGAGGGTGGACTTTGGTACGACGAAATTTGAGCGTTCTGATAGTTGGGGACAGTATTGTGGTTATTAGGATGATTGGGTTGTGGGTAGTTGGATCGGTGGGACTTTGGGGAAGGCCTGAAACGATCTTGGGAATGTGACGGGTTTCTAGGGGTTTTTCTTCCCCCATACGAGACAGCGGCAACTTCCTCTCTTCTCTTTCTTATCAATCCTGAAGACCCAGGCGATGCAGATACACGGGCTATCTTCCCCGATTTTAGACCATCTTCGATAGTCTCACCAACTTTGACTATCTCAGCGAATTTAGCTCCAACCAGCAACATGATTCGATCATAGTAGGCGAACCGATCGGGCACTATTTCAACATTGTAGGCGAATCGGTCAATGAAGTCCTTAGCCAATGCATTCCAATTGGGCCATTGCCTGGTTTCATGTGAAGTAAACCACTCGAGGGCCTCCCCACACAGACTTCGGCTGAAAAGCCGCATCAACAAGGCCTCATCCCTGCCAACTCCCACGAGCTGGTCACAATACGCTCTCAAATGCGCCATAGGATTGCCCACTCTTCCGAAGGTGTCAAACTTTGGAATTTTAAAACCTTCGGGAAGGTTCAAATCTGGATGGATGCACAATTCTGCGTAGCTAAGTCCGACGGCGTCTGGGATGCACTGCAGCTCTTTCATAGCCCTTTTGATTTCTTCCTTTATATCGATCTTCACTTCTTCTTTCGCCTTCCATTCTCTTTCCTGTTCTTCATAGTGATCCAACTCAGAACCGTGCACCTCGTGCTCGGCAGGAACGGGAACTTGGAAGGTGGCTCTTTTGGGGAGGGGTGGAGCTATAGAGGGACTTGGAACGTTTTGGGCGGTCTGATAGTTTTGTGGGTAGGCCTGAGGATTGGTGTTCTGGCTCAAATGCGGATGAAATGCTTGGGTATTGAAGGCAGTTTGAGTTTGGTTTTGATTTTGTGGCGGTGGGGCAGTTTGAGTATTTTGAGGATGGGGTGGTATTTGAGGGTGGTTATTTGGAAGGGGTGAAGGAGTTTGGTAAGATGCAGAAGCGTATTGAGGGTTTTGGGTTGTGAGGTCAATCACAGACGGATTATGCACAGGTGTAGAAGGCTGGTTCTGAGTTGGATCTATGTTTGATGAAGGGAAGTAGACCAGAGGTCTTGCATCAGCAATATTAGTACCAAATCCAGGTGGAGGCGCATCCTGTCTCCGTTGCATTTCAACTTTCATTTCAGCAATCTGTTGCATGATCAATTCATTCTGTTCCACTACAGTGGGCTGAGCCACCACAACGTCAGTAAGACGCCCTTCGTCATTGTTGTCTCCCATAACTGTTTTTCCTTTATCTGAATTTGATCGAGGGAAGGAATCTGTAGGACCTTTTGACCTGGTGAAGTAAGGATGATCTGCCAGCTTTATCGACACAGATCAGTAAAAGGTACCTGAGAGGTAAAAACAACTCAAAGGCAAATTTGTTAGTGCATATCCAGAGTACAAAATGCATAATATCGCACATAAAACAGATAAACACACAAGTCGTTTTGTTTGAGGATATCTTAACCCACGAATAAGGACGGATATATATTTTGAACAAACAGGAATTTGTTTGTTTGGCGCTATCTTGGGAAATCTGAATCACGTTGAGCTATGGTCTTCTTGCAGCTGCTTTGTGACGTTCGTTGATCTTATCTTCGTATCTCCGAAACATGGAGGAGAATGAAAATTTTCTGTGATAGGGGCAGGGCCGAGAAGGCTGCCTACGTATCTCACGGGGAGAATTCAGGCCCAACGTAGTTCGGATTTTAGGATGAAAATTTTCCATTCATTCTTTCGTTGCGATTACAAGGGAATTGAAAAACAACATCGAAATTTCTAGAAGACAACATTTGGAGATTTCTTGTCTTGTGGCTGCGTCATTCCTTTCCTTTCAGACAGTCGGAAATGGAGGCTTGTAGACGATTTCTTCTTCATCATCCTCCTCAATCACTTCACGGCCGGGGCCACTGTTATCTTCTCCCCGATCACGGGCGAGGTATTTTCTGCCCTTTGGTCGCTATGGGTCGCCAATTCCTCGTCGAGCGCCGCCCTTCTGTCCAACAACACAGCAGTCTCGATATCTATCTTCGCCTCTCTCGCCTTTCCTTCGTGTATCTCCAAACGAAGCAAGTTCAACCTTTTCCTTAGGCTTTTGGTTTCCATCTCAACCTCCTTCTTTCTCTTTATCTGTGACGCCAGATCTTCATCCAAGGTTGTGACCGCAGCTTTGTAGATCGTCGTGGTCACGTCTACTTTGAGTCCTTCCTCCTTAACCTTCTGAATCTCTCGAGTAACTCGCTCGATCTTTCTTTGCAATTCCTCCTCAGTGAGCTCCGTCTGGACGTTCTTGCCTTTGTCCATAGCGGTGATTCAACTTTCCTGAGATGATAGAGCGGTACTTAGGATTTATGGTATGGATTTTGTGTGAGAAACTTGAGACTCGGGAATTTTGGTTGGACAATTGTAATGTTGGCTTTTGTATACTCTTTAGGATTTTGGCTAGGAGTGGGTTTACGATATCCTCAATCATAGCGACATAACACATAAGCATTCAAACAAATATATCGTGTCCTAAACATGCATGTGACCCTTTTGTGCCAAGGGTAGGCCTAGCGATCTGAAGGATGTATTGCGCCATTTAAATAAGTAATTGTACCCCCGAAACGAATTTCACTAGATGTCATAGCGTTCATTACACAATCAAAATCAAACGGGATACATCTTGGGAATGGGATGCAATGCAAATACATATATAAAATCAATCCCACGCAGGGGAGTTAAAAGGTTGATGATCCAGCTCCTCTTCTGGCCTTCTCCACTTCTTCTCGGATAATGCACTTGCTGGTGAACACGTATGGCTCAGCGAACGCAGCTTTGGAAGATGTTGGTACGGCTTGTAAGGTGTTCATCTGCTCGTCCAAAATAGTGTCCAAACGCATTAGACAAGTCCTTGTGTCAGCTAATTCTTGTGACATTACGGCCAAAACTCTCTGATTTTCTAATTCCCGGAGTTGGTACGCTTGCTCTTTTTGTTGAAATTCCTGTTCTTTCTTATAGAATTCCTGCTCCCTTCGGTCCCACTCTTGCTGAAAATGGTACGCGTGAATCTGAAGCCTTGTCTCCACATCTTCGATTTTCCGACTCGTGCGTGGTGTCGGATCCACTACACCATGCAAATTATTATGCAACCATGTCTTATATTTGTCAACATATCCAGCTTCATACCTATCTGCGGTAACCTCCCCCTTTATGTTGACACGTCAGGCCCATTTCTGGAGGATAATTTTAGCGAAAGGTATTTTGTCCTTCTCGCTGTAATCAACAATGAAAGAGCTGGCATCTCCTTGGGCGGGTATGATTTGGACTTTCCCAAATTGCCGCATTACTCGCGTCGGGTTGTAAGGACGCAATCCTCTGATGCCGGGAAGGACTAAAAATGGCAATTTGCCCCCTTGGGTGGCTATCATCTGAGACCTGAAGCTCGGTAATACCCATTGTATGTCTCCTTCTTTCAAATTGTAAAACACCTTTGCCCACGCATCCCTGGTGGTGTGAATTGGAAATTTATGGATACTCAAGTAGAACTCGTAATTATCGAGAGGACTTGTTTGACTTGGTTTGGCCAAACCCTGTAGCTGGGGGTTGTCTCTTTTGCATAGATGTTCCGTCAACCACCATTGAAGTAAGATGTTGCAACCTTGGAAAAATGGGAAACCATTCTTGCACAGGCTCAAAGATCGGTAAATGTCGGACAAGATGACTGGGGCCAAACAACAATATTTCTTTTCTTCAAATTTTCCACCGACTCCTCTGAACATGGCATTCACTACCATTATTACCCGGGTGTCGATCTCTTTACCCGGGTGTCGATCTCTTTGGACTCAAGGTGGACTTTTCTAATGGGCCCGACACTCCTTGGGTGTCGGGTCATCCTAGGCCAATGCGCTATTTTCGGGATTTGGTTTTGCTCTATCCTAGTTTAACTAAGAGTGGGTTATATTTAAAGTGGAATGGGTAACCCAAGCGGACTACTTGGGCTGGGACAATTAACGATCGTTGACTATCAAGTAATCAACTACACTCGTCAGGGTGCCCTGAGAAGATTTTTGGTTAACGAACGACTGCGAACCCGCATAATCGTCCTTTAGTGGAAATGTAAAAAAGTGTCGTTTGACGGAAGTATGTATGCTATGTATGCAACAGTTTAAAAAATCTAATTAATTTAAACACTTAAACAGTTAATCACAAATAATCAAATACGTTAATCTTAAGGTTAGAATCCTCCAATTCCCCAGCGGAGTCGCCATTTCTGTTTTATCGAAAAAGGGGTGATTTTCGAAAAGAGTTTGTTTTTAGACTTTAGGGAGTCGCCACTTAATTTTTAAGAAAAATCAAGAAAACTTCGTTTCTAAACAACTTAAACAGAAAAATTATTTTGTAACGTTTTAAGGGTTCGGGATTCTTATTAGTATTTTAGAAAGGTGTTAGGCACCTAAAACACTCCGTTAAATACGGTTTTCCGGCGATTAACTTATTTGACTATATATATATATATATATATATATATTTTTTTAAATTGTTAGAAGCTATTTAGGCAATTTTTCAAGTTTTGAAATATTTATCATTTATCTTGCCATTTGGTGAATCTATTTCTGAGTTAAATCTTCTTATAGTTTTATCTAAACGAGCTCTACAAATTTTGAAACCAATTATCGTTTAGAAGTTAGTTTTAAGCTTGACAAAGTTTGAAAGGCGTTTTGACGGGGTTTGGAGTTTTATAACCCTAAAACTAACGATATTCAAACACGTAAACAACTAATAAAAGAGAGAGAGAGAGAAAGAGAGAGAGATTTTGGGTCCAAACCCGGGTACTGTTCGCCTTGACCGAGTTTTGGACCCACCTGTTTTTGGGTGTTTCGACCCATTTTGCCACCTGTCCTAATCTAGACATACAAAAATAAAAATACGAGACAGGAAATTAACGAGGGCTTATGCCCATTACAAAAATACAAAATAACGATAAAGAAAGAGTTTTCTAATCCATCTTCTTCAATCTCCCCGGAACTTTGGTCCTCGAATGTTCGCCCTTGACGACTTGACTCGATGAATGAGATATGAGTCTCTATGACTCTCTTGAAACCCAAGGGGTAAAGAATCCGTGGGGATTCTCATGAGTTCATGCAATCAAGGCAAAAATAAAAGAGATACGAATAAGCTGATGGGATGATGTGGTAATAATAATAATAACAACGACGACTATAGCAAGACATGTTTAGCACAGAGAAATAGCCAATAATTTTCCCTTAATGTCGATTAATAGATCAACGTAGAGGCTAGTGATGAAGGCATCTTTAATAGTCATGCAGATTCATACATATATTTTATGACATGCAACTAAGCTATGACAAAGAACACACAGAATTCGGCACGCACATCAGAGAGGTTGCAAACCAACCCAACAATAAACTGAAAAAGGGACAAGATCTTTATAACACAACTTAGCGATGAGGGGATGGAAACAAACAACAGCAATAGAGAAAACAAACTCCATTCAATACACACGATTGGACTAACACCTGAGAGAATTCAAAACGACGAAACAGACCAGCCAACAGCATGTTCAAACCGTAAAGTAAGCTAAACCAACTATGTATTCCCATTCGAGCATCTCAACATACTTGACAAAATGAAAAAGGAGACCAGCAAGATGATGAATAACATCACGTTATCAAGCTATAGACCTTCCGAAACTGAACAATTTAAACATCACATTATCAAACCATAGACTTTCAGAGACGGAACAAACTAAGACTGATACGATAAAATTGATTGCAAGGGCGTCATGACGAAACAGGACAAACAGAGAGCAACACAAACAAACGAAACGTAACGAAGCAAACCACGATATGCAACAGGACTCGAACGCCAAACAAAGCCAACAAGTATATCATCTTATTTTACAGCAAACAGGCCGTATTTCATACTCCATGGAAGCTGATAAAAATGGAGAATGTACCTTTTCCGGAGCAGCGAACGGAACGATGGTGACTAGACGACTGTTCCACCACACGAACCCGGCTAGGCGTTCCAAACAAAGCAACGATCTCACTCCGTTTCCTTCTTTTTTTTTTCGAACAGAAAACCAGAGGCGAGTGAGAGACCTCCGAACTACGATCTCTCTAAGATTCCTCTTCTAGAGAACCTATCGTCAAAGCTAGACCACGATAAGTCTTTCTAAACCAAGAACAGACAGAACAACAACTCTTCTTTTCGACTAAAGCTCCAACTCTCGAAAATTTTCTCAAAACAAAAATGTCCCACCCCCCCCATTTTCTGAAGAAGAAAAAGGGTTTTTATAGAGGAGAAGCATTAGCCCCTCTTTTGAATTCAAAATTTGAAATCCCCCTTTGGGTCAAACCCACAAGGCACGATGCGTGTGGCGAGGGCGACTACGACGTTCCGCAGACCTGCTTGACAGGGTATGGGTCTCTATCGTTGCGTCTCGTTCAAGCGAAATAAAGGGGGGAGGGAGAAGAGCGTGGGGAGAGAGAAACGCGACTGGGGGTTGTTGGCGTACGTCGCGTCTGTGTTTCTGGGTTTCTGTTGAGAGGAGAAGCTCGCGTGGGGGAGACGCGGGAGAGAGGGAAGGAGAGGAGCGAGCGAGCGTGGGAGAGGTCGCGTGGCTGCGCATCTGGGAATTGTTTGGGAATTTTGGCTTTTCTGTTTTGCTGGGTTCGCGTGGGGTGAGGGGAGAAGAAGGAAAGGGGAACGGGTCGGGTCGGGTAGGATGGGTTCTGGGTCGGGTAGGATGGGTTATGGTGAATTGGGTTGGGCTGGAGAATAAAAGAATTGGGTGTTGGGATTAATTTGTTGGGCTTGTTTTAAAATGTGTGTTGGGTTGGTATTTTTTAAAAGAAATAAAAGGGGATGTTGCACTGGGTTGAAGAGGATGGGCCGCTGGGGGGAATTGGGCCTTGAGTCTGTGGGCTGTTGGGAATATTGGGTGTAAGGAATTTAGGCAAAATGGGTTGAGGACGAAAGTGGGCCTCGGAATAAGAGTGGGCTGATGGGCAAAGGAATGGGTTTAAGATATACATATACATATATGTATATACATATATGTATATATGTACATATATTTTATTTTCGCAAGATTTAAAAAACTAATTAACTTTAAATAATTTGAAAAACTCACGAAGCTCGATAATTAATTTGTACCAACGCGGGTCAAAAATTGGGTGTCAACAATAAGTTTAATAGAGAAAGCGACAATGAGTTGGTGAAGTAAGGAGGTCGACATATTTTTGGTAGAAATGATCATTGCAACACGTGGTTCTTTTTTTCATCAATACTTAGATTGC